GGAACCCCCTTCTTTCTTCCCTATTCCCCCTCTATGAGAGACGGTACTTCAAAGTTTGATGCAAAAGCGCATGATCGCACCAGCTCGCCTGGCGCGTTTCAGCCTGGGTTACTCACTGCAGCAGCGCTATGCTGCACAGCAAAAACCCATAATAAGCTTATTACCTAACAGCGGGTGGGCGGTTGTGATGATTCCCGCTCTCATTCACTTTCACTACTGTCTCTCTGTTCACAGCTAAGGGACGAAACAAATACTGCATACAGAACTGTTTTTTCCCTACATTTCCGAATTCGATCCCTGTTGATCTTGTACTTAATTATACACGTTTTATGTACTGAAAATATTGCCGGAGTGATCCCGTTCGCACCAAGAAATGAAAATCATCACTGCTGCTCATTAGCTGCACAATGACTCGGTAGTATACTATCGTTGAGCGCAGTTTTGGCGCACCCCGTCTAAAACGATGCCATCTTCCTGTTCTGCGCCTTAATATGATATTTTTTGCGGATGCGACGCCAACTTGAATGTTTCTGATCGCTGCTTCCTCGCTTTTCAAATTTAATATTTCATATGAGTTTTAGTTTTTCCTTTCGATTACGTCTTTTTAAACAAATTCTTCGCTTGCCACGGCCTTTCGAGGAAATCTTCGAATAGATTAAAGGGAACGTATACAAAAGTTTAGAATTATATAGCCTGACGAGTGTAATGAAGTAGCTAGAGAGGTACTTGGCGTTGATTTGATCGTATACGCTTACTCAGCAGTGTGCTGCTCAAAGGAAACGCTCCACTTAGATTTGTTCGCTAAGTTGAAAATTTGCTATTGAAATAACGGACATGCGTACTGTTCCAATTTTTTTTCTAATAATTCGTGGAAAAGGGAGAAGTAAAATCCGATGGGCAGGAGGCTGCTCGCATAGCCGACAACCGATGGACGTTGCGCATTAGTGAATTGTATCCACAAAAAAGTAAACAACCACTCGGGCACCTTCGAGGAGGTGGTGCACATGCATCGAACAATTCAGCGCTCGCCCGACAAGTATAACTAACCGTAGGCCTATTAGAGAACTTTTTGTCAGTCGTTCAGTCGCCTAAATAGTAAGTTACCGGTCTCTCGAGATCATTTCGTGTTCTGCTGTTTAATTCAATTTCGTACATAGGGGGTTTGAGATTTTTTGGAATGTTAGTTGTTCTTGAACTAAAGCTGACATTTACAAGTCCCAACAAATATCCTGAAATCTTCAGTTCATTGATCATTAGCAACGAGCAGCACTAAAATTATAAGCAGCAAAAAACGGCTATTTAAAAATGATTAAAAGCGGAATCAACAGCATCAGTAAGTTCGCTAAAAATATGCTGATAACTTTCTTTTTTAACGAGCGTTTATTTGTACAGGAAAAGCGCACGACGGCTAAAACATTTCACAGGACTAATTCGATAAATCGGATGACAGTCGTTTTGATGTCCATATCTCCCGACAACCGCACAAAACAAACACAAAGCACTAAATGCAGGTGTAATCATTCTATGACAGGGAACGATGGAACGACTGCCTCCGGCAGCCCGTGTTCGAAAGTAGGCAGCCAAATCTGCGTGTGACTAGGATAGCAGTGTGTCCAGAAACTGAATACCATTTTTTGCAACAACAGATATTTCACCTGTTGACATTATAGGGTGGAAAGAAAGGGCTTAATAACGTTTTTTTTTTCTTTACATGAAAAAAGAGCAAATTTTTCTGTTTTTCGTTATGAAGGACGGGGTTTTTACAGTATATCTTTAGCAGATAACCAGGCGAAAAGAAAGTTTTGTACGAGCAGGAGTTACTTTAGGTTGCTTAGAATGGGGGATTTCAAGATATAAAAGGCGGAGGTATACTATGGTGATGGTACCTGCTTCTGCCATCAACTCTCTCTCTCTCTTTTCACTAAACTTTTACTACATCACTAGAGATAGTCAATAGCACATTCGCGACTTTTAGTTCACTTTACGTATATCATATCCAAGAAGGAACGCTGAACCTAGCAGGCATGGGTGGACTGGGACTCAGAGATTTTTTGCCGTTTCAACCATCTTGTCTCGCCCCCTTCCCGCCCCCTTCAGATGCTGCATGTGTGCCGGATGCGGTCTGCATGCCCCTTCGTTCCGAGTGAATCAAGATGAGTGAGCTGCGCATAACTGAAACATTATTTTTGCATATCTGAAGTGTGGCGCGTCAGAGTGGTCAGTGGCTTTTGCGGTGCAGACTCCGGCGGTAGGCACTCTCCCTTATTTCGCGGCCCAACGACTGACAATTCAATTTGCGGAAGCTTCGAATCGCTCTCTTGAAAGGCTGAAAATTAACAGTTTAACAAATCGGCTTCGATGATTGCTAGCAAACCCTTAAATAGCACTCCGTTCCTTTTGCACTCACTTCCCTTCCCGCTTCCTTCCCTTCTCTTCCGCTCCCTCCCCCCCCATCCGTCTCTCGTCACCAGTACTATCCGTTGCTTCAAGCTAGCGAGATTAGCTGCGCCGTTACTCGGTTATTTTGATCTGACGTAGAAAAAATTGGGTAAAATTTGAAAAGCAGCACATGAACTCAAACCGAACTTCAAAACGATTTCGACTTTTTGCTCTAATCTGTTATGAATGAATTTCGTGCCTCCCCGCATTCTGGGCTCCTTTCCTACCAATTAACCGTATGAGCAGAAGGCTGTAGAAGACGCTCACTTTTTCCGTATTCCTCCAAGGCAGAATTAAATTTGCGATGAAATCGCCTCGGTCATTCTGGTCTGCCATGATAAGAAAACGTAGATCTCCGGTTCTTGAAAGATGGCACGGACAGCCGCGACTCGCCGAAAAATAGATGACGGTATCCCGGCCCAGTGATCTGTAATGATTGATGACGCTACTCGATTTCACTCTTCATGTGTTGCTTGTTGGTTTCATACTGAAGATGAAGTGAGTATCCCTCTGACTTCTCAATACAATTTTGATAATGGATCGGATTCCCAGTCAGAAATTTTGAGGCGTTTTACATATGTTCATCGTAGCAGCGATCTCTACTGCCACAAACAGTACTTGCTGCTTTAATACGAAACACATGGGGCTTTATTCGTCCAAGCCTTGCAGACCTAATTACTGTAAAATTTTTATGCTCAGTCTGATTCTGCATGAACTGTCTAAACTAATGTATCTTGATCATGTAAACTAATGTATCTTGATTTAAACTAATGTATCTTGATCAAAATTGGAAATTTTGGACTTATAAATTCCCATTTTTCTTTTCTTATAGTGCAGTTTCTAGTACCTCATTTAGTAGGACTAAAAAGAAACGTTTGTTTGCCTGCCATCAGCTTGCTTCTGAACAATCCGGTAGTAGGCGACTGCTGTTGGCAATTGCCACCTCAGTTGCTCTCCAAGTGGTAAGAAGTGAATGGGGAACGGGTTTTGACACTGGTTTGATGCTACCCTTCAAGTGAACCTGCCACACAAAATAAGTCGACAGTGACCACTACGCATGAAAACGAACGAAGACGGAATGGGTAGCCGATTTCAGATACCGTTTAAGAGACGCCAACCGAGTCAGAATAAGAAGTAAATACCATAGTGGCGAGTATTCGGAGCGCTCAGTGGGAGGGAGAAGGTGCACGGTTATTCGTTTCTATATGCGTTTCTTGATTGGAAGAACGCCTTATAGCGAGTTTATGTGTACATGTCGATCTGTCCGGATAATTCAACTTGTGAATTACGGAAACTGAAACTTTCGGAGTATAAATCCCAATAACGTTTATGTTTGGAAAATCCAGTCCCATTTCACTCTGCGTCCTGAGGTATGATCATGCACACTTTTGCCTTTCTTTGTTACTATCTGCTCACGACAGACGCAGTTAGGAAATTCCAGTCCCAGATCTGACTCTCC